TAATGTTTATATGCTTCCATCTGTGTTTCACCTGCTTTTTAGCCCATGTTGGTACATTCAATTTCTTCTTGAAGCTTTTAAAAAATTAAAGATAACATTATACATGCCTTTCAAATAATATCATAGAAATTACTTAATTGAAAGTAGTAGGTTTTTATGACCAAAGTATGTGCCAGCTGCAGATGCCCATTACTTGTGAACCTAAAGATCAAATGACCATCTAATCTAGCAGCCTCTTTCCAAGAGCGACCATCCAATTCCTTTCCTTTCTAGAAGTTGCTTCTGGAAAGATGGTGACTACAATTATATATCCCCATTACAACTACTCTGCTCCGAACTCAAACTTCCATTTAGTTATAGCTATATTATAGTCCTTCTAGCCCTTCCCCCTGGGTGGAACATCAGTGGCATGCAAGAAAAAAGTAAGTTAGACTATTAGAAGTTTGTAGACAATTCCTATAATAGTTTCCAGGAGCTAGTTCTTGCTTGATGCAAGTGACCAGAAAAGAAAATATATATGAGTCTGTATAAACCACTTACTTGATATGCAGAACATTTAAAATGTGGATATCCTAAAAAAGCTAAGCAAAGGCTTGATTAGTAAGGAATCCTAGAGATGAAGACTATGCTGGGAAATGTTTTTTTTTTTTCATGTAATCCATGTAGTCATCGGAAGTGAACATTTGACTATAGTCTTTACATTTTATTTAGCTGATCTATGTATTTCTCTCCCATGGCTGGCCATTTGAACATAACTGTTACAAGTCACCAGGAGCTGAGTTTGACTCAAGGGAGATTTTACTTTTAAAAGTATACATACATAAATGTGTGCTCTAAATATGCAAACATTTGGAGGACAAACTTTTTAAAAACAGGAGTGGACCACAAGTCTCCTTCAAGAGTTCAGGAAAAGCTTCCTTTTCACCAAATCATGCAAGGTATAGAGAAAATGAACAGAAACAAAAAACTTTCCCCTCTCTCAAAATACTGAGATAAGGAGTCATCCAATGAAGCTGCCTGGAAGGAGATCTAGAATAAAATAAAGCACTTGGAATTAATTATCACAAGATGTGGTGACGGCCACTAATGTGGGTGACTTTAAAGGGGATTGGATAGCTTCATGGAAGATGGGTCTATCAAGGGCCATTAGTCTTGAAGTTTAAATATTATCTCTAGGTTAGGGGTAGCATGCTTCTAAATACTAGTTTCAGGGAAGGAATGCCGGGAGAAGAGTAAGTCTCTATCTCCAGCTTGTGAGTTTTGCAGAGGCATCTGGTTGACCATTGTGAAAAATAAAATGCTGGACTAAAATGGGCCTTGGCTTTATCCAGCAGGACAGTTTTTAATATTTACCTGTTTTAAGTGTCCTTTGAATATCTCTTTTTCTTTTTCTCTTTCAGCTGGGTTGGGAATCGATCTTCAGAGATGCACAGGATGATTTGAAGCACCATGCTGATTGCTGCCTATGTCGCTTTTGCTTTTCTCCTCCTGATATGTTTGGGCTTGGAGTTCTCTGCCTGCCGCTCCAGGCTCACCAGCAGGTCTTACTCCAACCCAGCCTTCTTGCGGTTCCAGCTAGATTATTATCAAGTCTACTTCCTGGCTCTCACAGCTGACTGGTTGCAAGGACCTTATCTTTACAAACTCTACCAGCACTATAACTTCTTGGAGGCCCAGATCACCATCATTTATGTTTGTGGCTTTGCCTCAAGTGTATTATTTGGATTGGTCTCCAATTCCTTGGTTGACCGCTTGGGCCGAAAAAAGTCTTGCATCCTTTTTTCTTTGACTTACTCTATCTGCTGCTTCACAAAGCTCTCCTGGGATTATTTTGTGCTAATTGTCGGAAGGATATTAGGTGGGCTCTCCACTGCTCTGCTGTTCTCTGCCTTTGAGGCATGGTATGTGCATGAGCATGTGGAACGCCATGATTTCCCAGCAGAGTGGATTCCTGCCACCTTCTCTAGGGCTGCCTTCTGGAATAGTATCATTGCTATTGGAGCTGGCGTAGTAGCCAATATCTTTGCTGAATGGCTGGGATTTGGCCCAGTAGCTCCCTTCATGGTTTCTATTCCCTTTCTTGTGCTGGCTGGTACCTTGGTTATGAAGAACTGGGATGAGAATTATGGAAAGAAGAGGGCACTGTCCAGGACTTGCACCGATGGCTTGAAATGCCTTCTCTCTGACCGTCGTGTCCTGCTTTTGGGGACCATTCAGGCCTTATTTGAAAGTGTCATCTACATCTTCATCTTCCTCTGGACTCCAGTCCTGGACCCCTACAACCCACCTCTAGGCATTGTCTTCTCCAGTTTCATGGCTGCCAGCATGGTTGGCTCCTCACTATACCGTGTGGCAACCTCCAAGAAATATCACCTCCAGCCCATGCACATCCTTTCCCTTTCAGTCCTAATGGTGTTTTTTTCACTCTTCATGCTGACTTTCTCAACCAATCCTGGGCAAGAGAACCCGTCGGAATCCTTCTTGGCCTTCCTGCTCATTGAACTATCCTGTGGGCTCTACTTCCCTTCCATGGGTTTTCTCAGGCAAAAAGTGATTCCTGAGAAGGATCAGGCAGGCGTGATGCATTGGTTCCGTGTTCCACTGAACCTGCTGGCTTGCCTCGGGCTGCTTATCCTCCATGATAGTGATTATAAGACAGGCACCAGGAATATGTTCACTATCTGCTCTGTGATGATGATAATGGCCCTTTTGGCTGTTGTAAGCCTCTTTACTGTTGTCCGAAACAATGCAGAGCTCAGGCTGCCCAGTTCATCTAGTCAGGCTGAGATATCTTCTCCTGAGCTCTGATCTAGCGCATGGTGAGGTGTTTGTAGGGAAGATGCTTTGGAACTAGCCAATTGTCCATAATGTATCACAGAGCCAGTATTGTATATACACAAGGAGTCTGCAAAGAGAACACTGACCCTCTGCCAAGTCCTTTGTGGACCTCTTCCACATACTGGAGGAATAAAGTGGATACATGTCTCATTTTCTTCTTTTCAACAAAGATGGGCCACATTACAAGCTTGGTTACATCTATGACAAGCATATCTCCCCCCCCCTTCTCTTTTTTTTCCCACTTGGAATTCTTAATTCCAGTGGCTTCTTGGCTTCTGCTAGCCAAATATGGAGGTTGCTGTCTGCTACTTCATACTGAATTGATGGTGGCAGATAATGGCTTACAAGGACAAAGCAGTTTTTTTTAAAAAAAGTCAGCAGTGAGGTTGATAGACTGATTGCCCAATATCAGTATTGAACTTGGTAGCAGGATCAGCCATATTCTATAATCAGCAGTATCAGCCATATTCTATGATCTTCTGCTTTTTAAAAAATAATAAACTTAAACATAAAGCTTATCTCGAGTCAGTTTTAATTTTGAAAGTATATAGCCAGGCTTGGACAAATATTTCAAAATGAAGAAGGTAGAATATTTTGAAATCCTAGGTGTCAGTATCACATACTCAAGGTTTTTATTGGGTTTATATTGGTTTCACGATTTCCAGTATGGCAGTGATAAAGGATTTTTCTTCCAGTTTCCTATTTTCCCCATTTTTTTTAGCTTCTAGTTCTGTTATGGTGAAGACTGTACAAATTAAGGATCTGCTCAGTATTGGGTTCATACTTGTGAATAGTAGAATTAAAAAAAAATACTGAGACTAAAAAAAATTGAGGAAGAGTGATGGTCTTAGCAACACTTTGCTTTGTAGCACATCTGGTTTTGTTTAATTGTCTATCTCAGCACTCCGCAACCAAAGATTTTGCTCCTGTTAGTCTCAGCTAGCATGATTCTTGGCAAAGGTCTGTGGGAATTGTAGTCATGTCTGGAGAAATTACCCAGAATTCATTCCACCAATAAATAGCAGCCATGAAAACATACACTTTATAATATTTGGATAATATCAACCATTTTCCTACATTACAATGCATCTAGTTTGTAGATTAGTAGCCAATTGGTTTTTAAATCCCTTTGGGTAATTATTATTTTTACCAAAAACCATAGGCCGCCTGAGAAAAGGCATTGCCCCTTTTCCACATCCCATAGAGAAAGCCTCTTCTGACAGCTGCATCTACAAGTGAAGCAAATGTGTTTGCTTTTCTCAGGATCATTACTTCTAATGCATATGCTAATATGAAAGTATGTGCTTATTTAACAGACTCTTGTACAATTAATTTCAATGGATGACAGCTGAGCCAGTTAATTATCATTCTTTTTTTTCTCTACTAAACTGCTATTAAAGGAGCTATAGTTTTGCCTAAGGTGATAAGCCTTTATCTTTTCAGCTTTGGTTTTTGCCCAGCGCACAATTAACAGTGCATTCAAGTGAAGAACAGAAGGCAAAAGAAAATATGTTTTTACTGTGATCTTGTCTAAATTTTAGGTCTCAGTCCTTCTCTTTTCTCTCTTTTCTATAGGTTGTCTCTCTTTTCCCGTTTTTTTTTTTTAACTTTATTTCAGGATAGCTTTTAAAACAACTGTTTATTTTGTAGCCAGGTGATGTGGTACATTTCTCAGCAGCCTCCTGTTCTTTTTTTAAAAAACACTTCCAGTGTTCCCTCAGTTTTTTTAGGACTTCTAATGATACAAGAAATGTTGCCACTTTTAATGTATATTTGTTGTTGCACACTAACTCTTCAAGTGTGTTTGCATTACATGCTTAGCCACATCTGATGCTAACACCAAGTAAGCTTTTTGCCCATTAGTCTGGCACCAGACAACAATAGCAATGTATCAATCATTCAAAATTTATTTATGGTCCAAGACCAAACACAGTAAAAGACCAGGACAGGTAGTCCTCGGGTTACAATGGCAAGTGGGACCGGACTTTCCATTGTAAAGCAATGTGGTTGTAAACGCAATGTCCTGCAACTGCATCGTTTAGCAATGGCAATCCCAGTGGCCCCAGTTGCCATTGTAACCCCAAGACTGCTGGTCATTAAGTGGGAATAAGTGGAAGTCCCAGGCAAGGAGCATGGAGGGGTGCTGTGGAGGGGGGGGGGTTGCCATGGGCAGGCACTACAGAGTGCAGGCAGGCTGGTGGGGGCTGCAGGCAGGCAGCCAGTGGGTGTTGCAGGCAGGTGCTACGGAGTTCAGGTTGGCTGGGGGCACTATGGGATACGAGATCCCTGGGATCTCATACTCTGTAGCAGGGCTGCTCAGGAGCAAAAGTGGTGGAAGTGATTTACGGGAGCAGCTTCCAACCTTCCCCCTCACCCTTCCCCCTTTCTTTTCTTTTTTGGAGCGGGGGGGGGGGGGGAGGAGGGAAGGTTGGAAGCTGCTCCCGTAAATCACTTCCACCACTTTTGCTCCTGAGCAGCCCTGCTACAGAGTATGAGATCCCAGGGATCTCGTATCCCATAGTGCCCCCAGCCCACCTGAACTCCGTAGCACCTGCCTGCAACACCCACTGGCTGCCTGCCTGCAGCCCCCACCAGCCTGCCTGCACTCTGTAGTGCCTGCCCATGGCAACCCCCCCCCCCCCCCCCCCCCCCCCC